ATCCATAATTAGTTGAGATAAATGATCCATCAATACTGACACAAAATAATTTGTAAGTTATATTAGAATTTTGTGTATTTTAAAGGAATAAAAGTTCCCTGATCTCTACATAAGATACTTTAATGGATGTGAACGGATCAGTGTATAAAGACTGAATAAGACCGTTGAAGTTATCAATAAAATATGTAGATATGTGAAAAACATTTATCACATTATACATGCACTACAAGTGTATAAGTCATTTCTTTGTGACTGTCTCTCTCTTTCTCTCCCTCTCTCTCCCACTCTCTCTCCCACTCTCTCTCTCTCAGCATATGTGAAACAAAACACTATTTTCATTCCGCCTCTTTGCTTTCGTTTTAAACTATATCATGTTCTTAAACTCTTGGGTTTCATGTCTTTACATCAACTGTAGGATAATATCTATTAAATATATATATATAATTGCCATGTGGAACTGTTTTTCTTGCAGTGATTTAGTCTCATTTAACGTGGTACAAATGATTCTTAGGATTTGTTAAATATCATCAGTTTTGGAGACTTTCACATTTATATTACGCATAAATGAACTCTTCAGTTCTGGATAGCTGAAATTCTGATGTATGACTCATCTGAAATCCTGCGAGAAGTGATGTTATTTCAAAGTTTCGAAGTACAAATACATTGGATAATGCAAACCTATGTTGTAAGAGTCATAAGGATATTACAAATAATAAGGTTCAATTGAAATCTATATATTTCATTTGGAGAAAAAAACTAACGAAAAATGAAAGTTTAGAGAAGTACGATATATATATATATATATATATATATATATATATATGACTTATGGTAAGGAATGTGTCACGTAAGAATCATGTAAAACAAATACCAAAACAATGTTCAATAATCTAAGCCTAAAAACTGGGATTAATAATCCTACCCACTAGATAAACTGTTTCCTGAAATTTATCTACATATAAATAATGGTGTGAATTACCAAATTCTTTCGAATTTTTTAATGTTTAAATACTAACTATGTGTTTGTTTTTATGCCCCTTTTGTAAATGAGATAAATATCTTTCTATACACTTCCTTATTTCTTTACTACATACTTCATTTATTCCTTCTTCATTATATACTTTATCAAATCAGGTTGGATAACATTAGATTGATCCAGTTATGTATGTGTGTATACACATCCAATTGTAATTACGTATCACAATATGTAAGAAACAAAACCAGTTCAAGCGTGATAATGTATATCACATATTTATGAATTACATTTCTGTACATTTTATGCTATTTCCTTAAAATTGTAGATTTCAGACAACTAAGGTCATGAGAGAGGCCTGTCATCATATAGTTATGTTAAGTAACATTGAAGTTTTGACTGAGAATAACTCGCCCCAATTATTGCAATATTATCATACTGTTTATTTCACATGAATGTGAATACTATTTATGCCTGCGTTTTGGAAAACATAATCCTACGGAATATTTTATTAACGAGTAATCATTGTCTTAAATATTTTGTTTTGTAAGTAATGTTTATTGATACCACAAGGGGTTTTATGTACATTATAGTAATTTTAGTAGTTGAGATCATGAGTCAATTGAAGCTAGATAACCATGGAAAACCTCGATGCACTGGACGACCGTTTCGTCCTATTGTGGGACTCCTCAGCAGTGCGCATCCACGATCCCATCTCGCAAGATTCAAACCCAGGACCTGTCTGTCATACTATAACAAGTTTAGGTTCAAACAGCCGTTCACTAGATTAATCTTATGTGTAAATTGTCATTCATAACTTACTTCACAGAATTTAGGATTCAGCAATGTAGTTCTCTGTGAATTAAAGGATCTCCGAAGTTGCCAGGTCTCATGAATTGGGTACTTCCATTGGATTTATTTTTCTTTCATTAAAATCAGAAAACGATCTGGATAGGAGTTTCATTCTATTATATTGATTGATCACTGAGTGATGATCAATGTCATGCGTGTCTAGTCCTTATTAGTGCAGATCGAATGCTATCGATCAAGTTGCATTGTGGCCATCAGTCTAAGTGACTCGACACTGCATGCACTATTGTGAGATTAGATGATGGTTGGAGGTAGTCGACAAGAAACCCTGGACCTGGGTTTCGTGCTACTTGGCACTCGTCAGCAAGGTGTACCTGTAATCTTTGAGGGAACTGGTGCTCCCTGACGATTCGATCCCGTGTCACCCAGCTTCACAGTTAGAGATGTTACCACTGAGCTATCCGGGCCGCGACCGACCTCCTGTATGACTGAGATGTAATCACAATTGAGTGATCACTGAGTGGTGATCAATGTCATACTTGTCTAGTCCTACAGGAGGTCGGTCCGATGAAAGTACCCAATTCATGAGACCTGGGAACTTCGGAGATCCTTTAATTCACAGAGAACTACATTGCTGAATCCTAAATTCTGTGAAGTAAGTTATGAATGACAATTTACACATAAGATTAATCTAGTGAACGGCTGTTTGAACCTAAACTTGTTATAGTATGACAGAAAGTTCCTAGGTTTGAATCTTGCGAGATGGGATCGTGGATGCGCACTGCTGAGGAGTCCCACAATAGGACGAAACGGTCATCCAGTGCCTCGAGGTTTTCCATGGTTATCTAGCTTCAATTGACTCATGATCTTAACCATTGAAATTACTACAATCTCCACAAAACCCCTTCTCATATTATTCAATGAAATTTAACAACTCCATACTGATAATAATTTTTATTTGTCTTATTTTTGATTGGTTGACTTCTATTCATTCGTGTTAAAAGGGAACTATTGTCTTTTAATATTAAGATAGATTAATTTTCTTTGTTCACATGTAAATTCAATAGTAAGGATTAGAGTATCTATCCTATTACTTAAGCATTCTTATTATCATTAGGTAATTAATAATTCACGATTAGAAAATGTGACACTGGATTAAAAAAATTCTTCACCGTATTTAAGGTCAACAAAAAGAAACTTGTTATAATGTTCAAACAAATGATTATGGTTTATTTTCCTATTTAATTAGTGTTTATAGAATGCATATACCTCATATCATCTATGTTAACATATATAGGTATAATTTACTTGATATTGTTTTACTTGAATCTTCCCATTGATGTTTAGGACTGCAATTGATCAGTCTCTTATTGGCATATAGCCACTATCCATCTTTGTTTATAATGCTTGTAAATTAAGGCAATATCGAGGCAATACGCACAGTATGCACATATACCAATATGAGAGACTGATCAATTGCAGTCCTAAACATCAATGGGAAGATTCAAGTGAAATAATATCAAGTGAATTAAACTTCATTACATTGCATAAGCAAGTGGCTATCAGGACTCAGTAGCTAAGTGGATAACGCCGATGGCGTTTGAAGTGACGGTATTGGGTTCGAGTCCAGGGGTGAACATCAACTCTGAGATGCAGGTACATCCAGCTGACGAGTCCCAAATAGGACGAAACGCGCGTCCTGGATTCCACTGCTAGCCACTATCCATCTTTGCTTATAATATATAGGTATAGTTGTTGTATCAATTGTTTATTGATTTATTGTTTTCTATGTTAATGTATGAATGACTAATGAGAATCTAAAATGATGTTTAACCAATCTATTCTTGCTTTATTTAATCGATTATCATAAAATTTCCATTTTAGTATTTATTTATACATTTTCATTGATCATTTATTATGATTAATTGTGTAATCTATCCTGATAAATAATTGAATTGCAAATCACCTTGATTGATTTATGTTTAATATATATATGTATCTAATATAACTGAATATTAAAGTAATGCATTATGTTGATCTAACTAAAAACAATACTATTCCATTACATATCTTGTATCAGAGAGGGGTTTTGTGGTGATTGTAATAATTTCAATAGTTGAGATCATGAGTCGATTGAAGTTAAACCACCATAGAAAAGCTGGAAGCATTGGATAGCTGTTTCGTACTAGTATGGGACCCCTCAGCAGTGCGGATCCACAAAAAAGCCTTCTGATACAAATCGACATATGCTCACTAGTGACTGAATTCAAGAGGTATATCATGGAGTTCTAGTGAGAAGCAGGGATCAGTGGATTTCAACCGGGTCAGTTGTGAGATAGTAACTCACTGATGACAATGGTGAATGTGTCACTCAATTTCTTGGATTCATTGAAGTTAGACAATAATACAATTGGATGTCGGCCTTGACAGTGGTCTAGTGGTTAAGCGCTCACACGCGAGACTGTAGGACCTGGGTTCGAATCTCATGAGATGGGATCATGGATGCGCACTGTTGAAGAGTCCCATACTAGAACGAAACGGTAGTCCAGTGCTTCCAGGTTTTTCCATGGTGATCTAGCTTCAATAGACTCATGATCTCAACTATTGAAATTACTATAATATCCACAAAATCTCTATCTGATTTTAATTTATTATTTATTATAAAGTTGGCAAGTCATATTAATTTATAAATATTGATATAGAAGATAATTTCTAATAAGTGTGTTAACATTAAAATAATTTTCATGAATTGAATGTTAGGCATTGGTAAATTTTACATTCCTATTCTCTTCTAAATTTTCAATACTACTTAAAAAGTAAGGAATGGGACATATTGTATGTGAATAAGAAAAAAAATGAATGAACAAAGTGATCGTATGACAAACAGAAACACAAACTCACACACATACATATCATGAATATATATATATATGTATATATATGTGTGTCATGTAAGTTTATTCATCATTATGCAATATAAAACAGTGTAGACATATAGAGAGCAAGCTGATAATACTCACATACCTTCAAATGTGTGTATATAGTTGACTTTTGGATTATCATGATTCTACAGAAATCTAATGTAAACTGTCAAAGTTATCCCATACTCTAACTGGTTGGCATGACTGTTTTAGGTATAAACAACATTACACTGTTGCTCAACATATATATATATATATATATATATATATATATATATATATTGAGGAACGATACATAAAGTTTTAAATGTAAAGTTTTGGTAATGGAAAAATTTATTCCCATATAGATTTTAGTAAATATTATTATTATTATTATTAATATTGCTGTAATACAGTGAATACAAATTTAAAAGAAAACATTGAATAGTAACTAAAGAAAATGCCTATGCGTATACCACAACCAATACAGATTTGGTTTAATTCATTGCATCATTATCGTAAAAAAATTCAATTACAAAATGATAAAATATTAATAACCGATAAATCTAATGAAAAATTGATTGATTATAATCCATTATTAATTGGTGGTATTGAAAATTTATTACTTGAAATGATACCAAAACATACTAAACCAATGATAAAAGATGGTGCTAATGAAGTTGCTCAATGGATTTGTGAAAATTTAATTATGTTATATGATATAAATGATGATGATGATGATAATGATGATCATGTTAATGATGATGATGATGATGATGATGATGATGATTCTAATAAATTAGATACAATTAATCAATCTAATATACATAGAAATAATTTACTTCATAATTTACAATTTATTACAATAGAATTATTACCAACAATTATTTATGTATACTTTTGTTTATTTAGTAAGTTTTAAAATATTAGATTATTATGAATATGAATAGGGTTTTGTTTCTATTGGATATTATAATAATTTCAATTTTGATAGAGTTTGGTTCTCTAAGCTGGATGGAGAAATTCGAACACTTCACTTCTATCTGAAGTTTGTGCTGCGGATGATGTCGTTGAGAAGAACGATAAAAGCTCCACGACCAAACCATTCAGCTCAGAGAACAAAACTCCATCAAAATCATCCACCTGAGCTATAAATCTTCACCACTATCTCAGTAATTTTAATGGTTGAGATTATGTGTCCATTGAGGCTAGACCACTATGGTGTGATTATTTTACTTATAGTTACTTATAGTTATCAATATGAAAAGTCTAATTTTTTTTAATTGTGTAAATAGTTTAAATAAATAAAAGAAATCTGGTGAGACTATAATTTATGGACGATCTTTGAGCAACTTTAGATTGATCTTAAGAATATCCACCTAATAACTAGGACTAAATAAGAGATTCAAATTATAATTTATAATTGATAGTTAAAGTTAGGAATTAGATTTAAGGTTTTCATTACAATTTGACATCAACTCTAATGTCAAGATTCAATTTAACCAAATGGATAAGTGAATTTCGTGCCAAACTCTGAGACTTGTTATCTTATACCTGATTGTTTCGTTCATAAATTATAGGTCTCACCAAAAATATATTCATATCGGTGATCATTTTATTGGTATTTGTCAAAAATGTTTTTATCTAAGGTTTACGTAGACATCAATGAGGTTATTTCTGAAAATTAAGCAGTTATGTTTAAAACATTTACAGAATCTACTTTTCAACTTTATAGATTTTATCATAAAGTTTCATGTATTAGATTTGTTTAAAAATAAATTAATTATATATTATACTGAGGTAGACACCTGTTTCTACCCGACACGGATTAGCTCCACTGGTCAAAACTTCTCACCAGAACTCCGAGAATTTTCTCACGAAGCTAGTCACTAGTGAGCACATTGTAATTATCAATTTAGGTGTTGTGGAGATTGTCACGTTTTTGATCGAAATCATGAACCGATTGATGTTAGATCATCATTGAAAACCTGGAAGCACTGGACGGCCGTTTCATCCTATTGTGGGACTCCTCAGCAGTGCACATCCACGATCCCGCTCGCGGGATTCGAGCCCAGGACCTTCAGTCTCGCGCACTAACGCTTAACCTACTCGACCACTGAGTCGGCATCCAACGGTGTTAAGGTCTAGTGCCGTCCAGTGCTTCCAGGTTTTCAATGGTGACCTAACCTCAATTGGTTCATGGTTTCAATCAAAAACTTGACAAAATCTACATTAAATGTCATCTGATAAATTGAAACTCATTAATTTAAGTTCCAAAATTCATCAGTAAAGGATAATAGTAATTCTAATGTAATTTAAACCCTAAATGAAGTGTAGCTTTTCATAAAAATTCTAGAAATGTTATAGCTAAGATTACAAAGTAAATCTTTCCAGCGTAAGGTAGTGAAGGCAATCAGTAGAATGCAGTTCGTTTATAATTTCAAATCTATTAACAGTAAGTACATGAAAACTTAAGGGTATTGTTTGGAACTCACGTCAAATATATCATCTCAAATACGTTGATAATGAATTATTTAAGAAATGAGAGATACCTTGAAGGGATGAAACACTTATATTGATTAGCCACTAAGAGGTAACCACTATCATTTTTACTACTACTACTACTACTACTACTATAATCACATTGAAATACTATTTACTATAAGTAACTTAATTCTTCATTATTTGACCGCTTTACCATACAATAAATCAAATAGATGAACCATACTGTTTACTTAATCATGATGCTTCCTTTAATAAACTTTCCCTAGCTATATGAAAGATTAAAAAAAAAATTACTTTTATCAACTCATTTTAATCCTAAAATATTATTCAACTTTTCTTTTTCTTTTTTGATTGAATAAATGGACCAAAATTTGGACAAGTTGATTTTATTACATTTGGGAAATGCTTAGTAACATACAAGTTGTCCTTAATTAATTGATCTAATTTTTTTTAATTTTATTTTTAAGCAACTATCATACTGAAAAAGGAAATGATTTTATGATTTAATCAAAAATCAATCTTAATCAATATTGTTTTAAAGAGAAAAAAAAATTATTACAAAAACAAAACAAAACAAACAAACGTGATTTGTAACTAAATGGAATTTTTAAAGTAAAACAATAAATTCTTTATAAACATAGTTAAACTATTAAACTATTATACTTACTTACGCCTGTTACTCCGCATGAACGAGCATAGGCCAACCACCAGCATTCTCCATCCAACCCTGTCCCAAGCAATCCTTTCCAACTCTTAACAGTTCTTATTCATCCTTTTCATATCTGATTCTATTTCCCAACGTAATGTGTTCTTTGACCTTCCTCTTTTCCGCTTCTATTCACGATTCCAAGATAGCGCTTGCCTCGTGATTCAGTTTGATGATTTCCTCAATGTATGTACTATCAATTTCCATCGTTCCATCCTAATTTCCTCTTCATCTGGAAGCTGATTTGTTCTCTCCCACAAAAGACTATTGCTGATGGTATCCAGCCAATGGATGTTGAGTATCTTGTGTAGAAAACTGTTGGTAAATACTTGTACCTTCTTGATGATGGTTGTTGTGGTTCTCTAGATTTCAGCTCCGTACAGTAGAACTGACTGTGTTGACGTTGGTATTGAAGATTATGACTTTGATATTGGTTGACAGACATTTGTTTTGAGTTCCATATGTTGTTTAATTGAAGGAATGCTGTCCATGCTTTGCCAATCCTCGTTTTCACGTCTGCATCTGAACCTCCTTTTTCATCGATGATGCTTCCCAGATATGTGAAAGATTCTACATCTTCGAGAGTTTCGCCATCAAGAGTGATCGGACTGCTGTTCTCCTTGTTGTATTTGAGGACCTTGGTTTTCCCTTTGTGTATGTTGAGGCCTACTGATGCACAGACTGCTGCTACGCTGGTTGTCTTTATCTGCACTTGTTCGTGTATATGCGATAGGTGGGCTAGGTCATCTGCGAAGTCTAAATCGTCCAGTTGGTTCTGAGCTGTCCATTGTATGCCGTGTTTTCCCTCAGATGTCGAGATCTTCATAATCCAGTCGACCACCAGAAGAAAGAGGAAGGGAGAGAGTAGACAGCCTTGTCTTACTCTAGTCCTTACTTGGAATGTATCTGTCAGGTGTGCTTCATTCACTACTTTGCACTGTATTCCGTCGTATGAGTTCCGGATAATATTGACAATCTTCTCAGGAACTCCATAGTGTCGAAGAAATTAAACTATTATATGATAAAAATAATTTCTTTTTTTATATCATTTTTCATTTGATTACTATAAAACAAATATGTCTTAGGATCAATATTTTACAATTTTGTCATGGATGCACACTATTAAGGAGTCTTTTAATAAGACGAAATAACCATTCAGTATTTCCAGATTTTCCATAGTGATCTAGCTTCAATTGATCTATAATCTCAATTATAAAAATTACAAAATCACTCTCTGAAGAAAAATATGTTTAGAATACAGTTTATTATGTAAAGCTTATTTTTTTTAATATACAATCATAACAATTAAGAATTTTCTCATTTAATTATGTATAACTAAATAAGAAGTTAAATAACTTTCAAAATATACTTTTAGATATAATACAAATATACTAAATGTGGAGAAAAAAAAAAGTGAAATGAAAGTTTTATTTTAAATAAATAATCTAATTGTAATATTCTAATGAGTAGAAAAATGAGATTTTTTTCTTTAACGTTTTGTAACTTCATGTAAGCCACTTCTTCAGAGTAAATAAATCACTAAAAAGAAAAATTAATCCAAATTTTTGATTTGGTTATTTAATTTTTGAAAAAGTAGATTATACTGAGTCACAAAACGTTAGAAAATCTCATTTTTCTATTTATTTAAATATAACAAATATATTATTTCTATTTATAACAATCTACTCAATGCTCAATGTATTTGAAATTATCAAGTTAAACCATGGTAATGATACCTTTAATAGTTTTGTTGTGCTCTGATAAGAATGATGAGTGGTAATTGTTGGGATCCATTTATGGACCAGTACTATATGTTTATTTTATCGTATCATTGTTAATTAACTAAACTATTCATATTCATGTCCCTCTTATCATAAGTTTTATTTTGACCTATGAAGTATTATTATATGGTTTACGATTCTTGAGTTATGCCCTGTCTATTAGTCACTGCCTCCCACATTCACCGCCACATTTGGCTAAATGTTGAACAAATGTTATTTTCTATTTTATGGTACAATGTGTGGTCTGTTTGATCGGTAATATAAACCGAGTATGTTTGAAATATATGATTCATATCTCAGAAGCTCGGATTGGTGAAACCAATCAGAACTTTAGACTGCTCGTACGGATTCGCGCGTCATTGATCCGATCGATAATTCACTGCTCTTTAATCGACTGTCACAAGTTATAACAGTTTTGTTTATTCATTTGCTTAAACTTTTTATCAATGTTCAACCTTTTTTCTATGAGAGAGTAATTATATTATTTGATGTATTCTTCTGTAAAATAAGAAAGCTTAGTTCAACGAAAAGTTATCTTTACAGTGAATTCATTTACAAAACTGTACAATCGTAAACATATACTTAGTTCATAAAATGATAATAATCACATTCATAATAATAATAATAATAATAATAATAATACAGTTTTGCTAAACATGGTAACAGTGAAACAGAATAAACAATCGAATTAAAACGATATATTTATCAAGGAAACTAATAATAATTTTGTTATAGAGAGCTTGAATATTCATTCTGAAGATAGACAGGGGAATTATATTTGAGAAGAGAATGTTTATCGTGATAAGATAAAATGTAATCAGTAGGATCAGAGATATTTACTGATAAGAATGTAAAACCTGAACCACCTACAGTACCAATGACCTCTATGAAAAAGAAAATACTGTGTAAACATTAATTT